TATCAAAGTCGCGGAGTGGATTTTGAGGCAAGAAGAAGTGGTATGACAGGACGAACGTACCGTAAATACCGAGTAAAACGAACGTGCTCTTAAGAGGGTTGGCAGCAGAGGTGGTTGGTAGGGGGGGGGGGGCGCCGCCTACTACTACTACTACTACGACGACGACGACGACGAGGACGACGACGACGACGACGAGGACGACGACGACCACGTCGACGACGACGACGACGACGACGACGACGACCACGATCCCGACTTCGATCACCACGACGACGACGACGACTACTACTGCTTCTAAGCAGCCTGTTGTCGCCACTACTATCACTACCGTCATGCGTGCACCTGCCGCTGCCTCTGCCAGAGAACCTTTCGTGAACCTGCCTGTTTTGCTCACATTCCCACGCGGGCTTCATCGCTACCCACCGCATGGCGATTACTGTGACTGAGCTCCGACAGTGACTTGCAGCAGCTGCTTCCGACCCCTGCCCATGCAGACTTCGCTGAGATTCCATCGCTATTTGGACAAGTTCCTTCTCGTCGAATTCCTGACGAACTCTGCTCTTGCCTCCCAGTGACCTGGCAGAAAAGCATGTTAATCGCTGCGGCCATGGACACGCCGCAGACATGTCTAAGAAGCAAGGTTTCGTCGTTCTCTCGGACTTTGCTACAGCCTCCCCTCTCTGAGGATCAGCTGCCTCCAGGCACTGGGCCTGACCTCCGCGCAGCTGCAGATGCTGCGGAGCTGGGCATCGGAAAACAGCGCAACCCGGCCTTTGGCATGCATGCTTCTCGACGAATGCGGGGGTTTTGTGGGGAAAGAAAGCATAGCGGAGCAGCCACGATGTAGGTCTGTAGGCTTTCAAAGTGGCACAGTTGTGTTGTTCCTGCGAACTCACCGAGGTCTCGCTCATTTTCTGTGCAGAAGAGCGGTGCAAGTTTCTTCGAGAAGAGTCCAGGGACATCGAGGGCCCTCGCAGGGTGGAAGAGGCAGGTGGACAGGTAGCAGTATCAGAATGGTGGCGACAGGCATCTTGATTAGCATGAACTTTCGCATGTTGTTGGGCTATTGCAATATTCCTGCCAATGTCTGATGCATGAACTGGATGAGCGCACCTCGCGTTTGCTCGCGATTCCACTTTATGTAGTGTGACCGTGAGTCTGCCATACTGTACGGTTCCGATAACTTCAAGAGAGTGGCAACGACAAAGGGCAATGCTGTCGACAGACGCAACATTGAGCATTGTCCTCTGTCTTGCGGAGGTGGCAGTGGCTGGGGCCAGCTTCCCGGCCGAAGACGAACAGGTAGTTCATCCAGTGCGGCAGCTGCCACCACGAAGACGACGACGGTGACTACTGCCACCATTACTGTCTTAACTTCCTACATCTGCACCTGCACCCACACCCACACCCGCATCCGTACCTGCACCTACACAAGAGCTCCACCCATACCTACAGCACCTTTCACCTTTGACGGCGACGACTACTACTCCCACCGAATGTCTTTACACAGTTTGAGAACAAGCCACTCTGATACATACCGGCCATGAATCTATCTCGTAAATACCCACTTGTAAATTGTAAATGCAAGTTGAAGCATTCGGAAGTCTTGGGGCAAGATCGGAGGGGTCTCCGAAAGTGGTAGATCAAAGCGATGCAGCATTCACCAAAGCTGCACAGCGAGACTTCTTTGTTTTTTGAAGCAGCCCGAAGGCGTTGTGCATGCTGAACCCTTAAATTTGCATTTTGGTCTGCACGTCAAGTGTTTGTCTGGTCTCCTACACGGATTTCGGAATTGAGCTTTGCCGAACCCACGACTCGATCCTCCCGGCATGTCGGATCTGAGGCCTAGTCGAGACCACTACGAAGGCAGAGGGGTACCAAGGGGCATCAAGGAGAGCAACTGCAGGGACTCCTAAATTCCCAATTCGCCTCCAAGCTGCAGGTGGTCACCACCGTGAAGGCCTCTTAGTTGCCATCTTGCACATTGTTCGAAGGATAGCGGATGTACTGAGATCATAATTGCAACATGTCGTAGTTGCGGAATCTACTATTAGCACATCTGACCTTCTTGTGACAGTTGTGTGGCCGTGAAGCAGTGATGGTCCCCTCTAGCTCCCGAGCCCTTGAAGTCATTGCGGCTCAGGAATACGCCTGGAGCTTCAGCGTCCAATACGAGCTCACAGCCTTTCGTGGTGTAGGTGCCGCATTGCTTGAGCTTCTTACCGGACGCTCTGAGACTCTGGAGATCTCTGTATGTCTCTCTATACTTTGTTGTGTGGTTGTTTAGAGGTGCAGAAGCCGACGACCGGTTCGTCTTTAGGAGCCGTAGTGGAACGTCTGAGAGCCTCTGCAGCAGTGCGTGGAGGAAGTCTTGCCGCACACAATCCCTGGAGAGTCCAGTACTACATGTGCCATCCTGAGGATAAAGACACAAGGAAAGGAGCCACCTTTTCCCGAAGTGAAGGTGCACAAGCTGGATCCAGCTGCTTGGAAGAGAGTAGTTCTGGAAACTAGAATTACTACTCTACATGAAAGCTGCCAAGTTTGAGGTGCGCTGGCATATCTAAGGTTAACGTGAGCTTCCTGTTGCGTTCGTTGCGAGAGGCCACTGGGATTTGTTGTCCCAGAAATTCACCGAAGCGTGCCGAAACCAAGAGCTCGTGCACGCGCGCGTGTGTGTGTGTGTGTGAACTGTCCTAGGTCATGGGGTTAAGGGAGGTCGCTCTCCAACGTTTTGCACAACTTCCTGTTGCTCGCAAGGTCTGTCTTTTCCCAAGCTTAGGCATGCAGGGGGCGGGAACATGGATTGCTGGACTCCTTGCTAACAAAGACGCCAGCTCTCCATGGTGATGTGTTCCGGGACGCCGGAACATGTACTTGCGTGATTGCTTGCGGCATCCTTATGCTTACGCTGTGCATGGTGCACGTTCGCTGTTGCTGACACATTGCAGGTAAAGGGTGAACCTCGGATACCAATCTGATGTTGCAGTGCTTGCTGCATGTCGCTTTCGTCGACAGATGACAGGTGTAAGATGACCCTTGTTGTTCAGCCTTGTGTTGCATTGTTTGCAGCATGATCACAGTTGTTGCACGTTTGCCGCACTCTGCTACATGCTAAGCAAGCCTGCAATACATGTATGTGCCAGCCAGGACATTCAATCAACATTTCAGTACCCGTGAAAAAGCCAACCATGAGTGCGACCAAACTTTGATAAAGTCTCTGCATGTGTTGTATGTGTGTGTGTGTGTGTCGGGACACCTTCGTTGCAACAGTGGTGTTGGGCTGTGCAGATTTGACAAATCGAGCACCTCCTCCCGCAAGCCAGGATGCTCCTCAGTCGGCGGGCTTTAGCATCTGCCGTGAGGATGCCAAGTGCAGGACACCAACGCGCAATTCTGAGGTGTGAGGGGGTCTCCGGCAGTGCCTTTGCGACAGTAACATGATTTAGCCTTGGTGGGCTGGGCAGGTAGAGGCCTCCAAGAAGCACTTTGCCCAGTTTCGAACCTGGGGTGAGGCCATCATCCACTATCAGTGTGAGCCTCAGAGCCTCAGCGGCTTGGAGACGGGGGACCGTTCGATTCTGAGCCATGCAGGACTGAGATGTGCCGCAAGATCGATTCCAAGAGCTTTGAAGGGGCCTTACTCGAAAGCTGGCAAAGTGAAGCGCACTCCTTTTCGTGTTAAGGGGTTCTGTCTCCAGGAAATTCCGGTGACCGCAGAGGGCATCTTCCAGCCTGTCCTTCCGCTCCTGGAAGATCCGAACACGCAGGCTATGGTCCAGGCAGGCTTCAGATCGACACCTTTCCTGGCAGTGGGTAGTGATATGCTTATGCCATATTCATACAGGTCCCAGGCTCGGGCGATCTGATAGATCTTGGCAGCCAAGATCCGGAACGAGGCGGGGAGTCCTGGAGCATCTTCGTCTTTTTTCCAAGCCCGACCCGGCCAGGTGCCACGCTCAGCCTCGGAGACGCGAACAGGTTCCTGCAGGAGGAAAGACGCCACCTGCCTCAACGTGTCTTGAGTGCCAGCATTTCCGAGACTTGTCCACTGGCGATCGTGGAAGAAGCGAAGTGGTAGTTTCTAGTTTCACCGCATGGCCGCCGCTAACTTGAACAGAATCCAAAAGAATGCTGACTGAAGAACCAAGACCAAGGATCCCTGGAGGCAAAGTTTGGGGAACTGGCCCAGGTCGGCTGCCCGGATCGTGAGCTAAAAATCCCCCCTCAGCTCCCTCCCATCGGAGGCCTTCCCTCAGTCCGGGTCTGTCATCACCGCGGCGGAAGCGCAACTGGTCGTGACGACTTTGCACTGCCGTGAATCTTGGACTTCATCAACAGTTGGGTTGTAGCAGCCGCATTCTTTCAGTGTGAGGGGTCTGAGAACGCTGGATTGCCGTTCTTACTCTCCATGTCCGACCAGGACGTGTGTCGCCAATACGACGAATCATTGAGATACGTTGAGACCATGTGGCTTGGCCGTAAACAACAACTTTCAGAGCCTCTTAGAAAGAATCATTACGAAGCTGTCGTTACCGAAAAGAGGAGGTTGGCTTGTCGAAAGCATCTTGGCCGAGGCTTCGAATTCAGCTGCAGGCAGCCATTGGCAAGCAGGTTTCTCCGAAGGACTTTGCGGCCGCTTGGAACAGGGAAGTACGAGGGGCCTTGGGCAAGGTAGCTACATCAGCGAAGCATTGAGAACTCCTGGCAAGAAAAGTGGATCCTCCTGGCCTCCATGGGCCTAAACCCTAAACCCTAAACCCTGAACCCTAAACCCTAAACCCTAGGACTACATGAGCTTTCACAGCCGGAAGCTCTTCGCTGACGCCTTCGCTCCCCAGCCTTTCTGCTTCGCCGTGAGACGCTCCGAGCTCCACAGCCCGGAAGGCCGAACGGCCGAACCCTCCAGCTTCGGTTGAGGAGAGGAGAGGGGTTAGGGCCGTTAGGGTTTCGGGTTCAGGGTTTGGGGTTTAGGGTTTAGGGGTTTAGGATGGTTTTAAGGTTTAGAGGGGTTTAGGGTTTAGGGGTTTAGGCCGAGAGCTCCGAGAGGTGAAGCGTCTCTGCAGTCGGTGTGGGGTTTGCCGTCGCGTGGTTTCCGTCGCTGTCTGTTGATAGCTCATCTCTGGTTGTCGCATTTCTTCTTCTGTTTTCATTCCGATTCCCACTTCCGTGAACCGACTCCGGGAGTATCCGGAAGGTACCGTCAGCATCGAGACGGGGGCAGAACCGGTTCCAACGATGGTGGCTCAAACAGAAGCCTCCTGGCCCATGGAGTTCGCATTGATTCTTGGCTAGCTTTCTGTTTCAGACTGCTTCAGACAGCCTCGTGCCTAAACCTACATGGCCGAAGGTTTGAGAGAGTCCGCTGCCAGGAATGCCTCCTCCAGCGTTTCATTTGTTGGCCAGCACTATCTGCATGCCTTCTTATCGCATCAGTGCCTCAGCTGCATACGTGTGCGTGCATTGACCTGAAATGAATGTGTTGGTTCGCGAAATTTCGCGAAGCGAGTAAACTTGCATTGACAAGTACGACTTTAGATTGCCTGCAGAGTTCGACTGGTGGTGCAAGGGTGTAGTAATCCAACGTGAACCTGGTAGAGATGAACTCTTTAGATGCTTCAGACGGGCGCTTGCAGCCAGCAGCTTTCAAGACCTGTTGCCGCCTTTGAGGTTTATTACGGAAGGCCTGTTTGGCTCCAGCAAACAGGCCTTCCGCCTGGTCTCTCGAGCTCGGCAGTTCAGCTCAATGAGCCTTGGAGGGACCATGGCACCCATGGGGTGGTTCTCAGGATTCGGGGAGTCAGAGTCAGAGAGGCATCCCGTACGTCATCTCTACGTCGCACCCTCGCTAGGACCGGATCGCATTTTCTGACTGAGGAAACTGAGTGAAGTTTGCAGATTCTGCACATTGTTCGCTTTCCATCCTTCCGTAATCGCGGCACACTCAGGATCGTTCTTGTTGGACGGGTGGTCTCTTCAACTACCTTTGACCCGAAGCAGGCCTTTATTGTTCAGAACAAGGCTGGAGCGCAAAGAGCTGATGGAACTCTGTCCTTTGCTAGTGGGCATGTTGAGGACGAGTTGTCCATCGGCTTGGAGCTATCGACCATCCCGACTGCTCGCGACTCTCGGGCTCGCGCTAGCAGGGTTCGGACGTCTCTGCCTTGTAGTGGCGAGCTGACACCCTTTTTTTGTGCTTCCTTCCCCTCCGAGGAATTCCGTGATGCCATCGAGTCACTCTCGCCGGAGCAGCAGAGGTTTGCGAAGGCGATCCGCTCCATGCAGCTGGAGAGCACGCTCTTTGGGCTGGTGATTGTCCACATCAAGCCCCAGCTGGAGAAGGCTGCATGTGACAGTTGCTTGCTCTTTTCCAGCTGGCCATGCGGAGAAGGTAGGAGGCAAGCGTTCGGTGTTACAGTTGGCCTGGTTCTATTGACGCATTCTTCGCTCGCAAGGTGCTTAACCTGCCCACTGACAGCCTAACCAAGGACGTGGTGTTTGCTTTGCCAAGGTTTTGCGTAGTCATGCCATGAAGATGGTGCAAGAAACAGATCATGCAGCTCGCAAATGACTCGGTGAAGCTCGAGCTAGACATGAAATCAGCTGCAGGAGATCAAGCTGACGCAAGACCTCATGCAACTCTTCATCAAGTACCAGATTCCGAGCGACCTCCTCTCGTTCTCAGGCCCCATTGCTCTGCAAGGGTAAACCCAAAGCCTGCATTACGAAGAGCAGCCGCTTCCCGGACATGGCCTCGGCCCAAGCTTCCTTTTAGAGCTAGGAAAACGGGGACAGAGTCCCCAGAAAAACGCCATGGATGTGCTTCACGTGATCGAGAGCATCTTCAATAAGGCAGACTATGCCATCATCGGGCTTTTGGCAGCCCTGGTCGTAGCAGTCGTATTCACACCGATGTTCAGGACTGTGGACAGCCTTCCTGGACGATGTGCCACACTGGGAGTCTCCCTGTACTTCTACGTTAGATGGCAGGTTGATGTTTCGAGGATCCCCATGAAGACGGATCATCCTTCAGATGCCGACAAGATCGAGTTCTTCCGCATGACGCGGAACGTGTACATGCTGTTCTCGGGCATTGTTCTATCCCTGTTTAGCTTCACAGTGGCCCGGCTACGAGGCCGGATTGAGGAGCTCGAAGGCGCTGGAGCGAGACCTCACCGCGACTGAGGAGTGGACAGACTTGGATGGGTGCAAGAGTCTCACAGGATCTGCACATGAGACTCCTAACGTGCCTGCCGCCCGTCCCCTCCCTGTAATGGCGCTACAGGTAGTCACTCCCGATGATTCTTGACATCCACAGGATTGGTTGGAGGGACGTCAAAGAGTCATCACAGGTCCCAGTGCTGCGGTGAAGACACCGCACAGCTGCCATTGCCGCAGCATTAAACCACTGTAGTTGTGGCCATCTACAGGGCACAGGTATGCTTTGCAGACAAAAGCTCTTGCGCCTGCAGTACGTTCAACAGCTTATAAGGTCACCCAGCATGCGCCGATCGCATCCCCAGGTCCGCCGGAGGCCAGCGAAACGGAGCGGCTGGCCGCTGTCAAGGGCCATGTCGAGGTGGGGCCACGGATTCCCCGAAAGCTCGTAGGTTTACACTTTCGATGCTAGGCCATGCAAAGCATGCTGTCGATCTCCAAGAAGGAGGACAGGGGCCAGCGGATGTTCAAGGGCGGTCATGGCAGAATCACGGTCTTGCCTTGCATGCTCTCTATACGAAAGAGGCTGTAGAGAACTGGCAGGAGTTGGTCCAAAACTTCGCCGAACAGGTGGGCAAACCCCGTCGCAAAAGATTGATGCCGCGTTGTTTTGGGATACCGGAAGCATGTGTCCCCTGCAAGGTTGGCAAGGGGTCGCATAGTTCCATGAGACCAGGGCATCGAAATTGTCAAGTACATGTCTGGGCCAAGCCCCTGGGACCTCTATCATCCAGCAAGGTTCGACCTGAGGCCTGTTAGCAGTTTTTGTGCGTGTGCAGCTTGGACGCGGAGCTAGTTTCAATAGTGGAAGCTGATGCAGGCCTGTTGTCAGTGTCCAGTCAGATGCAAAACGGTGGAGGCCTTCCAGGCTAGCGACGTGCCTCTAGGCTGTCGCGGCCTGAGAGGGGATTAGCAGGTTAGCAGTCGCAGGCTTCCGATGCACAGGTAAAATCACGTAGAAAGACGAAGTTGGGAAAATGTTGCAGAAGAAGACACGGGCTTATTTCAGAGCGGTAGCGTCTGCTGGAGGAAAGTATGCTGCGACATGCATCAGAGTCAAGAGCAGCATGCCAGGCATTGGTGCAGGCAGCCACAGCTAAGGCTTGGACATGGACCTCTTCGGTGGAGTTCCCGCAAGTGCCTCGCTCTGCACGAGCAGGGGCTTGCGATCCCACCAGCCTTAGCGAGCACTTTGTGAAGTCCCAGGCGCGCCCGTGCCGACGGGCATGCCAAACCAGGCACCTGCAGCGGGTTTTTCTCCCTTCGGGAGCTCCTGGGCTCCAGCAGCTGCCGGAGCCCCTCCTGCCAGCACGGGAGGAGGCCGCAGTGGCTCAAGCAGTGTTTCGGCTACACTGAACTGCAAGAAGCTGAGTGCTGAGACAGTTTGTTGCCCGAACCTCCGTGTCCTCGTGCAGAACCCCCCTGACAGGGCTCTTCGGCGCTAGTACAGGGCTCTTCGGCGCTAGTCCGACTCCTACCACCGGTCCTGGCCTCAGTGAACGGTGTGGAATCTGGGTTCGAATCAAGGTCTCTAGTGACCGGTGTCTGGCAAAATGCTTCGGCACTCCAAAAACCCAGCAGCCTGACGAGGCGGATCCATCTTCGGGTCGCAGGGCGGAGGAGGAGGCGACGCCAGTCAAGGAATCCGACTAACTTCGTGGTCGCAGGGCACAGACTCGGAAAGAAGCGGGTGGACGTGTATGCTTCGGATAAGCACGCGACATGACATGTGCATGATGGAAGGGATGGAAGTTTGTTTCTCAAAACCTTGCTCCAACATCCCGTATAGGAACCTGGCCGGCCAAGTTAAGTCCCAATTCCGCGGTTGCATGGCGGAGCCAGCACATGGCCCAATGTATCTGCGGAAGGTGGAGGGGCGCTTTGGGGGGGCTCCGGCCAATCCCCTTTTGGAGGCCGGGAAGATTGTGGCAGTCTGTTAGTTCGCACTCCCTTTTGAGATACGCCTCACCTCACAGAGTCCTGGAAACTGTCGAGATGTTACCAGGGCTTTGGAATGAGAACAATCGGTTGGGCAAGTAACATATTGGAAGGAATAAGGTTTTGGCAAGCTGGCGAGTGTGGGATGACTTTAGTTCGATGTTGTCAGAAATGGCATTGTGCGAGCACTTCGATGTCTGTCCTTCGCAGAGGTTTGCAGACCACACATGCCAGAGAGGATCCTCTCCTTCTTCGCTTCCCTGCCCTGGAGGTGCAGCGTCATCCGTGCAACAGGCGCAACAGGCAGCTCCAAGCAGGCAGTGCTCGGGCTATACTATGAGCTTTTGAGATGGTTGAAATTACTTTACATACGAATGGCTTCAGGCCCGCTGTCCAGCAGCCACCTCTGCAGCCGGATGAGCCCATGGAGACTTCAACCGAAGCGCAGGACGAGCTGATGACCAGGCGTCGAGCCTCGCAGTGCCTCTGGTTCATCTCTGGTCTTGAAAGCCAAGCTTAGACTCTGTTGGCCTCTCCGAACCATCCGACGGCGCCTGCGCTTTGGAAGCCTGGACTTCTTGGATGGCAGAGTGGAGATCCTCCAGTAGATACAGTCGATGGTTTGTGATTGTTTACACTTACATGGTGTGACTCTTCAAAGCTCAGACAATGCTATCAATTTCGAAGATGGGTTCTTGGCTTCCACTACTGGTAATTCAAAATTCCGATTGCCCAGCCCACCGTCGCTCGTTAAACACCGCCAGCAGAATCCGCGAATGCTTGCGAAATAAGATTCTCAGCTTAGAGTCTTTGTCCCTCGGAAGCAAGCTTTGGAGACAAAGACAGCGAGCCTTAGTCCGCTAGTACTCTAGTGGTTGTCTCTCTACTTTCTGCAAGTTTTCCAGCACCAAAGTGCCAGGGACTACACAAAGCTCCCCATTGAGCTGGACCAGCGCTTTGAGAAACTGGAAACAGGGGGCGCTCTCAGAGCAGCGATCCTGACTTTGTCGCTTGGCTTCCAGCGGCGCTTTGCATGGGGTTACAGTACCTTTCAAGAAATGCGCGTGTCGATCTAAGCACCGTATAGAAATACATCCACCCAGCCCACCCTACCCCCCCAACCCCCCTAACCCACCCTACCCCCCAACCCACCCACCCCCCTGCCCGAAGTCGCACACTCGAAGCCAAAGCGCTGTCGTAGCTCGGATCTTTGCCAGAAGTTGCAACCTTGCCGTCGCCTGCACTAACGACTCAGTCGGCGTTGCCCGTCCCAGCCGTCACGTCCAAGAATCTCCCTGATGATGTAGTCAGCCCTCGCGAAATTTGGCACCTCGCGGGCCTGGCAGAGGCCACATTGCACGATGCGAGCGACTCCATCACGAGCCGCGAGCTTTTTCTGACCATAGTTGGCTTCGCATGACCAGTTTTGCGGACTGCTTGGCCTCGCCCTGGAACCAAGACACTTCGCCAGCTCCAACCCACCCACCCACCCACCCACAAACCTGGTGGCCTGTTCACCGTGAAAGGCGAGGGGTCTTCAAGGGGTTCGGTGTGTTTTGCGGACTGGCAAACGCCAGGAAGCTCGAGATGGCTGGGGAAAATCGCTCGCCTGTCGGAGCTAAGGCAGGGTGACTGGCAAAAGAAGCTGCTTCGCCGCATTTCGCTCCGTGAACAGTCGCTGCAACAGTGCCACCATGTGCTAGACGTAGCGTTATGAGATAGCATATGAGATAGCATCAAACCTTGAGTCACAGTCAGAACAAGAGCGGAAGCAGGCGACACAGTAAAATATGTTTTCCATCGCAGTCGTAGAGGAAGTAGCCTCGGCGCCAAGGACAGCTGAATGAAAGGACGGTACAAATGCTTCAGTCAATGTTGGACCAGCTTGAATCTTGTGTCCTTTGCCCGGTGTCTCTGACACCTACCGCAATCTCAGGTCACAGAAAGCTCTGCTGGCACAACCGAGCACAACCTCGCTTGGGGTTGATGAGCAGAAGCAGGTCTGTGGCCGACAGAGTTTGATCGGGCTCTCTGGTTCGGGGAAGAGTAAGAGGTTGATCTTGCCGTGGAGTAGCAAAGTTGGACTCCACGCCGACATGAGTTTCTTGTAGAGTTTCTTGTGAACTGGGGCAGCTGATTTGGGGCCAGAAGCAGGAGCCAGCGCCTGAAGCGACCCAAGCCGTCCTGACAAGCATTCCTCGTAGCCACAAGCAGAGGGCCGTTGAACCCGAGCCTTACAGCTGCTTAGACTCCGCCATGAAGGAGAAGGAGGCGGCCTTCGACCTCCTCGATGCGCTCACGAAGTCCGGTGCCCTGCCTCTGGTGAACGCGAGCCTTCACGTGCCTTGGCTTGGGTTCCTCCAGACCCGGCAGTCCCAGAAGCCCGAAGCTGAAAACCTTGCTTGTTCCGGTGGACCGCAAGCTGCTATGGGTTCAGGATCCCGCAGCCATGAACTCCGCTTTGCCAGGTTGTTGTTGCCGCGGTGCACTGCTTCGACAAGACGGCAACTTCGGTTGACTAAACTACCACGGTCAATACTACTATTAACATCACGATGAATGTTGACGGTGGCGATGACGACGACGACGACGACGGGGATGACGATGACGATGATGCCGACGACGACGACGACGACGACGATGATGATGATGATGATGATGGCGATGACGTGATGATGGTGACCATTTGCCTAAAGCTGATATGCAGATCGCTCAGGGTATGTTGCTGTGAAAGATGAAGGTGACTGTGATGGTGATCTTGCTGCTGATGATGATGGTGATGAGGAGCTTGAGGATGATGACGATGATGAGGAGCAGGAGGAGTAGCAGCAGCAGTCGCAGTACCAGTAGCAGTAGCAGTAGCAGAGAAGTAGTGGAAGAAGAAGAAGAAGTAGTAGTAGTAGTAGTAGTAGTAGTGCGGCAGCAGCAGCAGCAGCCGTAGTCGTCGTCGTCGTTGTTCTTGTCATTGTTCTTGCTGTCAAGAACAGAGGACGC